TCTGGTTCCTGAGTGACGCCATATGCGATACGGATATGTCCGAGTCGTCCGCATTTTCTGGTCTAAACGAGGCCTGCGCGTGAGTACCAGTTACATGATCACCATCTTGAACTCCTCGTGCTGAGATTCCATTAAGTTCCATATCACTGACTCTGTTAGTTAGAGATTGTATCTCTTGTACAACTTTATCAATTCTAGAGGCTTGTAGACCCATCGATAACGAGACGTCATCTTTCAACGATTTTATTTTCGTGTCAATATCTGTTTTCATGTCATTTTTCAACTTATCAATTTTACTCTCTTACTGGCTCCTCATGCTGTTTTAAGACATTTGTAGAGCACCTATCGACTTCAATATCATATCTAACTTTTCAGAGTCAGTGAAGCTAGATGCTGAATTTGGCGCCGCCATGTTTGGGGTGGGATTACTTTTGGGACTGCTTTTAGAACTACTCATTGGACTTTTCATTTGTAAGTCAGACTTCTCAATGGGGAATACTGGATTGTCAGAGATACCGTTACTGGTAAAGGACGTATTTAGTAAACTAGAGTCTGCCTCGTCTCCATACAAAATACTATTTGCTTGGTTTAAAACTTCGTAAATGTTACCGTTTGGTGCTTCTTCTACGCTCAGCTTGTGTTGTTTGTGCAACTGCTTCTCACTGTCCGATTCACTACTACGTAACCGTTTCAGTTTATTACGAGATTTATCTTTCCTGCCCATTAACGATGAGTATCATATAAAGTAAACCGGCACGAGCGCGTATTACTACGCCGCAAGCGTCTACTTGATGGTCCGGATAATGTCGGGATAATGTATGAAACAGTATGAAACTGTATGAAAGTTAAAATGTTTAGTGATAAGTCTATAATACCGTAGACCGGCACGAGCGCGTATTACTACACCGCCAGCGTCTACTATAGCAGTTTAATACTGTCAAATATGGTAACTTATATATAATATGTTAATATATAAATATCCAAGTGTAACAATCAGAGTCAATATCGATGAAATATCCAATAGATGCCCGAGGGCCACTTTTCACAGGTAGAGACCGTGAATTTACAGGTTATATTTTCTTTGTTATTCCATTGTTTCGAACATTTTTACATATACCTCACAAACGAAAAAATGTTATTACTATCCAACATCACCCTCATGTAAAGCAAACTTTCATGAATGTTTTAAGCCATTTTACACCAATTTACTCCAATGGTAACTATTTTAAATCCGATACTTTGAGGTCATTTTACGTGACCAGACCTCCGCTCACACTCTCGTATATGTATATCTTACTCTTACTCTTACAATCGTATGTAATATAGGTACGATTTCATACTACTTTTTGTGAAGACTTTTTATGTTTGCTGCATCAAAGGTGTAATGTAAAATGAACAAACATGTCATGAGATATTTTATATCTTTTAACATTTTCATGGAATGTAATTAATGTATCATCATATTAAAGTTGCATGCCTTCAGATGAGAAAAATGATTTCAAGGAAATCAAAATATGAAAAGAAAATTCACGGTCAATTGACTGCTTTGAAGCATAATCACAGAAAAAATACAGGAAATTAAAAACCTTTTTAATACACTAAAGGTAGAATTTCATTGTAAGTCATAGTCACAGATTTGAGATATGATTATTTATTCATATTAACATCATTATTGGTTATATATTGATAAAAAAACCGAAAAACACAGTTTGTAAATATTTATTACAATAAAATATGAAAAAGGTATTTTCCATCCTATGCGACGCGCCGAGGTTAGCTTTATTTATAATTCCCGCGCTTAGTCGCGATGGTGCTTGGGATAATCACTTGATACTGTAAATGGCAGCCATTTTACGATGCCCTCCTCGGACAGTTTATCCTGCCGAAAAGATATGAAAAAAGTACTTGCAATTCAAAGTTTGTTTGCTACATAAAGATTATCGATTTACTCTTTGCAAACTTTTTCTCTGCCTGATTGTAATAATATTGATGTGTTTTCATTGGCTTAAACCGTCACGTTATCAATACACATAAAGGTGTGAACTAATTTCGTGTTCATTAAAATTATTCCGTTAATAGACATATAACAATGTTATTTACAAATGAATTGATAAAACAAAAATCCCAGAAGCATTTAAGATAATAACAATCATTGGAAATAAATGCATATTAATTGTAAATTTGTGTATGACAACTCACCCCCTAAACAAAACATAATAGACTCAACCAAAACAAGCGTCTGCTTCTTTACCTAACTATGTAGTTGCATGACCATGATCAGCAATATAGCAAACCAAATGTAAGAGCTAAAGCTATAAAGCATTTTATAAACTCTTATTCTCACTTAAGTACGACATTTCATAAATTCTAGAACTGAAAAATGAACTGTATATTTAAATTCTATTACGTTTCAAAATTATAAGTATCTCGTCATCTTAAATCGACATCCTAGATTTTTTCCCTATGACAGGGTTTCTAGATAGAACCAGAAAATAAATTTCGTCATTTTTGAGACAACGGTCCTTTAATTATGCATTTGGTATAGCAAGTTTATTTTGTCAATAAGAATAAATTGTCTATCATCTAATTATATGAACATCTGGGAATTGGAATCAATCATTGAACTGACAAAAACTCTATCTTTTTGAAACAACTCGTGGAAATGTACTTTCCACTGTACCGACTGTACTCAAATCTCATTTTCAAAATATACTATGGACTTATGAAAATGTGATAATTACTGACGAATTCTTGATAATGCATACATATCTATTATTCAACTGTCAAATGTGAAATAATCCCCGTCATCTCAGTATATTGACAATTCATTAAGGACTCGTAAATGATTTTTTAATAGTCCCGTAAATGTCCAGATGCTATGGATTAAAAAAGGGATGTTAATACTTCGAATGATATATTTATAATGATTTAATATTAACTTCTTTTATTTATGAAATGTGCATATTCTTTTGGCAATATTGAACCATATTAACAATATTTAAACAATTGAACTGAAAATTGTCAAAAATTGAGTAAAAATTGTATTAATGGTCTGAGAAGTTCAACAAAATTGCAAGATATGCATATACATCTAAGTAAGTGTAAACAATAACAATAGTACTAATCAAAGCAAATATTTTTTCTCATAGAAATATCACTTTTATTGAGAAAATCACTGTTATCTAGTTATTTTTCATTTGGTCATTTACGAGACACATCAATCTTATTACTATTATCTTATAATTTAACTGCAAAAAAAACTGTACAGTATGTTTGTTGAAACAGATATTAAGTATCTATATAAAGTAAAATAGTTTATATGCAGATGCATGAATAGTCATATCCCTTTTGACTAAAAAATCTATGAAAATGTTCTAAAGTTTTAAGAATGTATTTGTTTAAGGACAAATACAAGTTAATTCTCACCATATCTGCTCCAAAGAACCTTCTTTCTTACAATTAATACAATATACTCTAAAATTATCGCAATTACATCGATAAGCGTTGAATCAACATTTGCTATTACTCGAATGAATATTCCACAATTACCTTTACCATTTATCATTTAGGGGACAGTTCTGCCAGATACGGGACACGCCTTAAAACGATATAACGGTAATTTTCATGAGGTTTATTAATAAAATGCTTATCAGGTACAATAAAAACAGATATTCCTTTGTCAAATGAAAACATTACAGGATGCACATGGATCATATGAGATGGTCATTTAAAACACATATAAACATGGGAAGAACCTAAATCAGCGTCCACTCCTAATATATACCTGTTTAAATGTAATGTAATTGTCGTATAGTAGCAAGGAAACGCACAACTAAAACTTTTATATTTTAATTCTACATACGTGTTTAACATGTACAAGTCTCAAATTCGAACCCAAACTCTAAAAAAACTGACCAACTGGACTCTTCAATCCGTCTTTTTACATAACAGCTTTCCACCTAGATTTTACATAATACGTATACATTGTACTCTCAAATATATTATCTATCATTCTGACATTTGAACTTTGTACACCTTGATATACATGAATTGCGAAATTAAATAAAAGCATAAAAGTATATTTATATGTCATGTCGACTTGTCATTTATAATAATATGATGTACATACAACATTTATCTCAATTATACAACATCCACTCGCTGGTAATCCAATGAAACATTAGAAAGAAACAAGAAGTAATTATTTTATATGGTCCATTTTGATTTGAACCTTTATACATGTAATTTTTAAAAATGTTAAGGTATATAAAATAAAGGTGATAGTCATTCTGTAAGACTGTCTAACCTAAATTAACTGTTATAAAGGACAATAAAATATTATGTACACAAAGGTGAATTAATAAGTTTTATCACACACCCGTTCCGATTTTGCGACTCCGTAAATATGGTATTGCACGGCCGTGCATATATTTTGACGTGACGTCATTAGCGTTATACAAACATAGTGTAAAGACGCGCTAAATGTTAGCGTTAAACTATAGGCGCGTCAATGAAAAATGACTCTTATTTTACTTTAAACGGTCTTGATTTTGGGTATGCGATAAATAGAATATTAAATTCGTGTAAGTTCATAACTGAATTTATTGCACTCGTTGAATAAAATAATATTATGCTCGCCAAAGGCTCGCATAATATAATTTTATTCAACTCGTGCAATAAATTCAGTATTGAACTTACACTCATTCAATATCCTCTATAAAGCAAATTTTTATGCACCATATTCATTTAAAATCATGTATAAATGAGTTCCTACAACAAAAAGTTTAATCCCCCCCAAATTTGAAAATATATTCATTTTTGGGAAACATGAAATTAAAATCATTTGTCTTTTTTTTCTTTTTTTCCCTTTGTTTTCACCATTAAATATTATTTATTTTTTTATTTTTTATTTCAAACGGGAAGTTTTTTTTGTTTCCCACAAAGTTTAAAAAAAACTGGGCTCCCCTTTTCATCAAAACCCATTTCCCTTAAATAAGAAATCATTGTAATAGTCATCACTGTAATCATCATAAGAGTCATTAAAATCACCAGAGTCATATCTATTCTATACCACTATTCTGTTCTTTTGACTCTTCTTTTCCTCCTCTTCATTCCGCGTTTGTCTTCTTCTTTTTTTTCCTTGGCATTTGGGTCACAATGGGGACACAATATGTGACATACTGGTGTTGTCCTTTTGACATAGCCACAAGTTACTGGTTTAAAATTAAAGTTTAATCTATCAACTTTAAAAACTCGCAACATCTCAAAAGAACACCTTTCTTTATCTTTACGATAAAGGCGCACAATTCTTGCATATAATTCTACCAAAAGATCTGACAAAACCACGTATTTCGGATTTTCATGTTCGGATGGTGTAAAATTTGTGCAGGTTCTATCGAGAACAATGTAGGATCCCGTTTCTTTGTTAATTGACAACAACATGGAAGTCATCCTAGCCAAAACAAGAATCTTGTCATGCACAGGTAGCAAACACTTTACCATTGTGGCCTCGAATAATCTGCAATTCTCTTTTTCATAGAAAGGTAGATTAATGACCGTCATTTTGTTTGTTTCAAGATTAAAGCAGTACAAGTTTGACCTTTTTGAATATGTCGCTGTTGTCATAGCAATCATTGATTGACTGTAACATGCGCAGCTCACAATAAATGCTAATGACATTAGTGGTTCTATCTCAATTATCGTTCCATTGTCGTTGACGCTTCGATACAATACTGAGCCCATTGTATGCTCTTTGATGCCTGGATACCTTGCACTACCATGATATTTCGAACACAACCCCTTTGAAATAATTATTAAGCTATTGTTTGTTTCCAATATGTGGCTGATATCAGATGGATAATCCCCCCTGGAAACAATGCACTTTTCTTTACAAATACCACTGTTAATGTCATATACATATATGCGCCGTTTTGATTCTTCAAAGGATAACACTTCCCCAGATACCCCCAAACATGGTATACAAGTAGCGTTCATCATTTTGTCTGGAAAGTTAAATCTATAAAGATTCATATCTTCAAGGTTTAATCCAACGACATTTGATCCAGTTTGCTCGACATTGAGGGTAAAAACAAATGGTACAGGTGAATCGTTCCTCAAAGTAAGATGATCTTCTACTCTATGTAAACATTTAGGTGCCATCCTTACAAAGAAGTCTCTTTTGACAACTTTGTTTAAGTAGTATCCGTCCATTTTATTTAAATCTAAGAAGTCAAACCATCGTTCAAAGAACGCATCAATTCCATGAACATCACACCAGTCTCTTACCATTTCAAATCGGCTTTGCATCGGCCAATAACACAGATCGTCTTCGGTCAGAAGTATATCTACAGATGCTGGATCTATCTTTAAGATATCTGTTTCCTTGCAAAGTTCTATTAGATTACATCGAATGAATTCATCAATCTGTTCATGTTCGAATCCGTATAAAGAGCAAACTTGGAGTACTTTGTAAAAGTTGCTTTTAGTAAGTGCAAGGTTTTTTATGCGTTCTTTACAATACATATACAGGTCATCAATTAGCAGCATGTCAGCTAGACGTATTAAACTAAACAAGTCTTCTGATGTTACCTGTATCATACGACCTGTCATGTAGTCAACGATCTGTTCTATTCTTTCTTTACGGCCGGAGAAGGTACCGAGAGCCTCGTCAACTTAAAAATATGAGCATGAAAGTGAGAACATTACTAAATAAAAAGAAAATCATCTCACATGTTCTATTTAAATTGTATTCAAGCACGATTTTCCTATAGTTCACTGCCTAATAGATACATTATCCATATTTAAGTTGCATGTACAGAACAAATTAACACTTAGTTATACTTATTACAGAAGAATTAAAGAGATATTTAAAAAAAACTGATGGAAAGGCAGCTCCAATGCAGACTTAAATTGAAAACAAAAAACATATCGGACACAGAAACATCTCCGTTAAAAATACTCAAGGCTGGGAATCAGAACTGCGTCGTATCCTACAAAATGTAAACAAACGCCGCCGTCTTGGAACGAAATGGGTAGGTTTTTGTTTATTACTCTTTTTGTTGGAAATCACTGGAATTTAGATATATGTATTAACACGCTCCACTATTTTCCGCTTCGTTCGCCGTATGTTACTTGCTCAACAATTTTGTAAAACAAAAGTAATAGCGAAGCGGGCCTGAATTTTTATGATATTTTGTGGATACGACGCAGTTCATATTGCTTTGTCCATCGTTTTTTCCTCAAATCATTTACATGTATATACTCGTGAAAATATGATATGACGCAATTGTATTTTCATTGTAGGTTGTATATTGGTTCGGCTTATAAATTGTAGGCTAAGTATGCTAGTAACGTCCAGCAACATTTCTTGTTTGCGATGTATGATGATTTTATCATTATGAACGCGCACAAAGGACCTTAAAACAATAGCAGAGGTCGCTCATTGATTCCCACGAAAATGGAAGTGAAATTAAAGTTCTATCGCGCTTAAAGATCCTGTATGTTGTTATTAAGGTTGTATACCACACTAAAATGAAATTATATATATGTATATAATTATGCTTATAAAACAATTTTCAAACATCGAAGAATATGTAAAATATGCACTGCAAATACTGTACATATTATATGTAATCATTAACACATATGCATTCATTTCTTATTGGAAAATTTGACTTAGTCTTTATAGAAAATATTTTTTATTGCCTCTCTTTATGTACATGAAATGTTAAATTCGGTAATATCTTTATAAATAATGTTTTTTTGGAACTTACAAAATTGATAAATCTTAATTTGAGCATCATATTAATAATATATAAAACCATAAAAAAAGTTGTTTTACAGGATCTTTAATATTTTTGGTCGCTTTTGAAGCATCTGTCAAAAGCATCTACAAATTCCGAAAAAAAGTATATCAAATGCAAAAAAAATAACATTGAAACACGTGATCGCACACCCATATGACAACGTGTTCTAGGGTTGCATAAGCATGCTTGTAAACTTGTTCTCGTGAGTTTGTAACTAATGGGGATGGTTACTTTTTTCATATGCAGTTTTGTGCTACAAATGTAACCTATCCTGGACGCTCTATCAATCTGGAATGACCTTTGTTTTAAAAAAAAAACAAAAGAATTACAAATTTTTAAAAAAAAATATCTTGCTATCGGAAGAGAAGTATGCGCAAATTGCATGCCTACCGTTACTACGAACAACAATTTTCGATAATTCCCTTATATTAGTACTTAATATGTCTTTTTTACGCGCCGATTTTATTATTAATTTCCTAAATAATCGATGAGAACAGATACGCTTTATTATTTGAAACTTCATACCAGAAGTTTATAAAACAAATGCTTATTTGTACAGCTGACATTAAAGTTATAATTACCAAATTTTTAGTTGAAAAAAAAAATTCAGACAGGTGTGTTTATTGACTTCAAATCACTTGCCCCGAACTGCTGTGAACTCGAGAACCACCAGGGACTTTTGATTTTTCATGTGGCTAGCTTCAAAATATCGATTGTTCTCTGCATGTGCAAATTTTGTCTGAAATAATGCACAAAGGCGCACCTGAGGTCATTGCCACCAGTAAAAGCTAGGATGTAAAATGCAAGTAAATGCATGTAAAACCACAAAGAAGCAGTCATTGTCTAGAACATGTAGAACTACTGTTTATTAAGAGCGTAGCTAGCCAAAATGAATTTTGTGATTTGAGTTAATGGACTCCTATATTTTGCCAAACATTTAGGGATATAATTGAACATAAGGGAAAATATAAGAAATTATTTCAGATATATGATATATTCAGTAACATGTTTATGTTTATCTGAAAAGTAGCTTCCGTAATTTAAACTTTCAAAATAAATGTTATATTGGACATGAAACTACGTATTCTAAATATTCAAAAGCAAAAAAACATTGATATAAACCGTGAATGATCTAGCGGGGGGGTTATCAAGGGCAAATGTTTTTCGGTAAAATAGACTTATACTGCCAATATTATCCCCTGTTTAGAAGACTGCCAAAAATTCAACTGCGTCGTATCATATTTATTTTTCAACTTAACTGCGTCGTATCATTACGTACAGATCATGATTTTCTTGGAAAATCTTTTTAATAATTTTTTTTGCAAATGATGCAAAATTATATTTTTAAGTTTATGGTAAACTCTGAAACGAGTATATAATTGACTTGAAGGGAAACAAACGATGGACAAAGCAATATGACTGCGTCGTAGCCACAAAATTTCATAAAAATATTGGCCCGCTTCGTGTTGCAAGTTCGCTATAACCTTTTGCTTTACAAAATATTTGTGCAAGCAACATAACCGTACGAAGCAGAAAAGGTGGAGCGTATCAATACATGTATATATCTGGTTTTCAGCCATTTTCAACAAAAAGAGTAATAAACAAAAAACATGCCATTTTCTTTCCAAGATTGCGGCCTTTGCTTACATTTTGTAAGATACGATGCAGTTCTGATTCCCAGCCCTGTATTTTTTTTATCTGAAATAATATCATTTAATCTACAGTCGTTGTAAAAGACTATTTCAAGATATTTACCAGAATGCCTTATTTCAGGATTCCAACGTCCCCATGCCTCTAAAACAGGACTGCTATATGCAATACTTTCCCATTCTCCGCCTGGTTCCTGTTATTGAAAAAAGTGATAGCATCCTTTAGGTTTAATGATAGCTATTATTACTTTAGTTTTCTTTATGTACAAAACTTGTGATCTTCTGATTTAGGATGAAATTTGTCCTTAATATGAAAAGTATAAATTAACAAGATGCATTTCAACTCCGTAACTAATTATACACCGAATAAAGAAAGAAACGAGTGGAACTATATAATAAACATTTCATGTCAGTGTTAAAGTGCAAGTATTTAGCAAAGTTTTCTTAACTAAACAAGAGCCATGGCTGGACAGGGGCAACGCTCGACTTTTTTACTTTTTCTACAAGCAAACAAATAAACGGTTTAAATAAATCTTTAAAAAGAATTATAAAGAATAGAAATATTTTTTCCTTTTTTATAATAATCTGTCTAGTCACAATTGTTGTTCTGTCCAAGTATGAATCATTATAATAAATGTGTGAAAAAGTTAAGAATACATAAGAAGAATTCAATCATCTGACCTTGACGGTCAATGTCATATAAAGGTGAATTATTCAACATGTCTGTCTTGTCACATATGAATTAAATCCTTACATAAATAACAAAATAATGACAACTTAAAAAAATCAATAATCTGACCTTGAACAAGGTCAATTTGAAGTTGATATACATGAAGGTCCTGACCTAAAAGATGTTTCTAAATATGACGTTAATCCATTTATAAATAACAAAGTAATAGCCAGTTAACAAGAGAAGTTCATTTATTTGACCTTGACGATCAGGGTCAATTAAAGGTCAAGGTCTCATCTTAATTATTCAATATGTTAGTAGCAAGTCATCTTTCTTGTTTTGTCCAAGTATAAATCAAATCAGGACAGTAATAACAACATGATGATAATTTATCTAAATTCAATAAAGAACTTAAAAAGTTTAAACCGGTTTAAATTCCCTAGCAGTACTTATGCTGCTGACCATTCCAAGGTGGCGCCCCTCTGTGTTCCTATGATGTATGTGTTTGTCGTTTAAGACTGACATGGTGACACTTTTGTTTGTGTCCCTTGTTGTTTTCTCGTCTATGGTAATATCTTCCCTTTTGTCCCTAGTTTTAATTATTTTTTTTTTTAATTTTGTCCCTTCCTTCCCCGAATCTCGTATCCCCTTCCCCTGTGCCCCTTAACTTTGTCGGCCTTTTAATTAATCAATTATTTTTCTTAAACTACCTTGTCGGTAACTTTCAGTTCTTTTTAAGTATCATTTGAGTGATTAGCCTGTCCGTGTTCTGCCTGGTGCCTTACCCTGTTTTTGTTTGGCGTCCTCCTGGGCTCCTTGCCACTAATTATTGTTGCTGGATTGAGTAAGCTTGCGTTCTTTGAACGCCGCCTTTCCTTGTTGATTCTGTTTTTCATATCTTATGATGAACGTAAAAGTTTGCGGACGGCAACGCCGACATGACTGTAAAAATACCTCTATTTTTTTTCTTCGAAAAAAGTAGAGCTCAAAATGTAATATATTTTATTGTTCAACTCTGAAAGCGTTGGTATTCAAAACTGCATGTAGTAGATATATTTATTCCTGGTAGAGCTATAAAGGTATATGGTTATACAATTACTGTTTTCAAATTGTCTTGCATGATATTTTCGTGCTTCAACTAAGCATATCAGATGTCTATATAAAGTATCTAAATACGTATCAAATCACTCGAGGTAATTGTATTGCGTCCACATGTTTATTTTCGATCTTAAACGGATAGTGATAGCGAAAATGCAGGGTGGCAGGGTGGCAGAGATAGAGGCGGTTCTGCAGATTCTATGGTCGATTATTGGAGTATTTAGACAAAAAGTTTCCTTTGCTTAATCGTGAATTAAGCGACGACTGATTAGTGTCCAATGACAAGCAGTTAAAAAGAAATGGCAGAAAGTTCTTTTGCTAGGGACTTAAAGTGGACAAAAACCGGAAACTGATTGAATTTAACTCAGAACTACTTGAACAGTTAGAGTCGGTTTCCAGTTTTATTCAGAACGACGGAGAACACATATCATTAGATAAAGTTGCTTGAATCGTTAAAAGCCTGAATCACAGGAATAAACTTATTGAATAAGCTGATAAAAGTACTGGCGTCTGGGATACGGTTGCTGAATATGAATCGGATGAAATTGCAAGCGATAGCGAGGATGATAAGATTCGACGTGGCGAAAAGCGAGCTTTGGCAAAGAAAACATTTCGTTCGAGTCCGAATCTTGCAACCTGCACAGTTATTTTCTTAGAGTCGTCACGTGATACGGGTTATGGTGAGGACACTGCTATGGATGTACTCAGTTCGTTTCGTATTTTCAGACGAAACAACAAGCACCTTATCTAGTGTTATGCCTGCGGCGGTGGATTTGGTCACTTCCAGTCGAACTGCATAAGATTACTTCAACTGCAAGGAGTCGGATATTATCCCGTTCTCGGAAGTGCCTTCCCTTTACAAAGTCAACCAGTCAAGCCTTCCCTTTACAAAATATGATAAACAAGATCAACAAGGAAGGGCGGCGTTCAATGAACGCAACCCCCATATGACCCAGCAACAAGAACCAGTGGCAAGGAGCCAAGGCGGACCCCAAACAAAAACAGGACAGGGCAAAGACAGAGCACGGACAGGTTAATCACTAAATGATAAATAATTTGTAATTGATTAGGAATTCAAAGAAAACAAATAAATGATTGAATAATAGGCCCACAAAGTCAAAGGGGAAGGGGACATGAGACCGGGGGATGGGGGGTTAATCAAAGAAATAAAACCTAGGGGTAATGGGGAAGATACTAACCGTAGACGAGAAAACAACAAGGGACCAGAAAGTCAACAAAAAGTCAACCAGTCAAGATCAATCAGCAGCAAGCAGTCTCGAGGAAGCAACACGAACCTCAACTGAACCAAGACCCGGCTTATCACGTGAGGGATGTTGCACGTATTCATTATCCCTCATGTACAGACTCAATCAAACCGAGTCTGCACTTCTCTTGTATTTTTTTGTGATTAATGCTTCCGAGGGATCACTTTGTTACCGGATTTTTATTGTAAAGATGAGTATTTTTCAAATGATTACATTTGCTAATCACAAACTGTGTTTCAGAGGACAATATTTTAGCACAAACTAAGTATTTTGAATACAAAATGACGTTTCCTCATAGCAAAAATTAGTCTGTTAATGGGTTGGTTACGGTCTCGTGTTTTTTGGAAAAGTATTTTAAAACTTTCTGACTATGTAATTGATGTAGTTCAAACCGGTTATATTATTCCTATTTATGAAACTCCTGTTAGTTTTTTTTTTTCTAAAAGAAAAATCTGCTCTTGAACATTGTGATTTTGTTTCGAGTACTATCATTGACCTAGTTCATTCTGTTTGTGTTTTAGAAATTACTTTATTCCTTATTCAGTTAATCCGTTGTTATTGTCGGTCAATTTGTTTGTTTGTTTGTTTCATTTTACGCCTTTTCACAACAGTATTTCAGTCATATAGGCGGGTAGTTTCCTAACCATCGTTCCTGGAGAGTTACACCAGTACTAGACTACCATCCTCCGCGTTAAACTACCAAAGCATCTCCCGTAACCTCAGATAATTACAATATAGATATAGATTCATTTCAGCAAACATGTTTAGGGTTTTCGTGGATTGAAAAAGGTTTATAAAATATTATGTTTTCACTAATTTATCTTTTTTGACTGACATCAGCTCCATTTATCTGGACTGAGTGTTTGCGGCCAATTGTTAAACATATCAGGGAAAATAGTATATTTTTGTACTATTTTTAGATGACGGCTGGGGGAATAAAACACTTCAGTTGGTTAGCTAAGAATGACGTCATGTTTGTGAAGTCAGTTTTGATGAGGTCAGGTTTTTTTTTATTAATTTGAACGAATGTGTGAACAAGTACAAATTCTTGATTGGCTGGGGCTTTTATGTATGTTATGCAAAAATTCCTCTTCTAAGTGCAAGAGAAATAACAAAGTTCACAGGGAAAATAATTTCCTTAATGCCTGTTATATTTGCAAAATAATGACAAAACATTTGCATCTAGAAATGAGGACCGTTTAGATATTAACCGGTCTGGGGGAGCTATTCCTAGAAAAAGAAAGTAATAAGTAAACCAACCAGACGTTTGTTCAGTACTGGTATTGAGTAGGTAACAGTCTATTAAAATACTAGCCAAACAGCCTGCACTGCTTATATTGAAGGTTGTAGTGATCAAATTTGTCATAGGTATTGGTCACAGTCTGAAGGGACACCAGTTCTACTTGACACGAGTTAACTGTTATTTTTTTGCCTTAAAAAGCGTTTTACCATTTATAGCGGGCATTAAGTTGGTGTACCGATAACTTGAACTGTGTTCATAATGTTGCATTGGGAAGTACGAAATAAGATTTCCACAAGAAGATTGCTTTAGATATATTTGAATTATACATTAAACATCAGATTATATTGCATATGACATGGTGTCCCAGAGAGTCTAATGCTTTGGCTGATTATTATAGTAAATTATGTGATGTTGATGAGTGGGCTCAGGAGAGATTTTTTTTTATTGATCTGATGTGGGGGCCTCATACAGTAGATCGGTTTGATCACCATTATAATCGAAAAATTGTTTGTTTTAACAGTTAAGTTATGGTTCCGGGAACTGAGAAAGTGGACGCTTTTTCTGAAAACTGGGTTTATGAAAATAACTGGTTAGTACATCATGTCGCTTTAGTTCCCAGAGATATAAATTTGAAGTGTTACATGCTTTTTTAATTGCAGTGTTTTAATGATTATTTATCAACGTGCCATACCACGTGACATTTCGGGTTCGGTATTTTCCAACAACATTGACCTGGCATTCATGCATTTGACCTTGTACTCGGTATATTTCGTAAATGTTACGATCTACTTGTAAAATCGATATGAATGTTGATATTCAATTGTTAAAATGGTGTAAATTAAGTATCCCTCTCAGCGCAATTGGTAAAGGGGTTTCACTTGAAGAATGTAGAAGATTTTACTGGTTGGTTCGAATCCT